TCCTAAGTAACCCTCTAAACAACCTCCATTAATGGTGCTCTAAGCTCGTTGGTTGAGATCACGAGACACATGTGTGAAACAAATAATACCAACTTTTCTTGGTAAAAATAATAACAACTTGTACTTAAAAAATGCAGTTTTTTCTTCGCTAGATTTTTCTACAACAAAAACTTTTGAATTGTCGTCGTATTCACTTACAGTTTTCATCTGTTGTGACTAGAATATGTAATTAAACGGGGATTGCCATACTCATCATATTCACATGCTCAGTTTTCAAGCTTTTTTCGATTCAAAACTAAATCAAATAAAATCTTTTGACTAAATCAAACTAAATTAATAAAAAAAACTAAATCAACTCTTTTGACTTCAATCCGTTTGATTGATGTGGAAGAAAAATCTGCTTTGTTAGCCATAAAATATATAGACATTAAAAGAGAAGTATACAACATGTTTCATGTGTGATTTTCTACGTTGGACTAGCCTTAAAAATCTAAAATTGATTGCATAATTTGTTGTAAAAAATTAAAATACACATTAACATCATTATTATTAAACACATTAAATCAGCTTTATAAATAGGCTTGTTCGATTATGTTTGATCCCTTACTATAATGGGCTGTTGATCCAAAGATAAAAATAAAAAATTCTTCATAGTAAACTTTAGAGATGGCAATTGGGCTTTCCCGTCCCGTTCCGTCCCGTATCGCAGCGGGTTTTTTGTTGAGCGGGTCATGGCGGGTCTGTCCCGCGCGGGCTGCGGTCTTCCGAATGGCTACCCAATCTCGTACCGCATAATTTATAAGCCTTCGCGGGCCGTCCCGCGGAACGTCTCCTTCAGCTTTCTTCATGAATGTTAAAGTAGAATAGTTGAGTAAAGAAGTTGAAAAGAGCTGAACAACATCGATCGCAACAACATCCAATGTGATCACTCGCTGGTTTAATGGTCTTGAAGTAAGTGAGAGCCATTTGGACAGTAAAATTTAACTCTTTCAAGAATATTCTTTGTTTAATTCTTAGCAACGTCTCTTCATAGCAACAATAACTTAATACTAATGGTTTCTTCTTCTCTTTCATTCAAGCTGTTGAACTTAGAGTGTAAAGACAAGATTCTGCAGTAACCCAAACTCTCATTTCAAGTTGTTTAAAGAACAAACAGTAGCTCTTCAACAAGCAATAACTCTTTAACAACATCATTGTAACAAAATTTAAATTTTTTTTTAAAACACCACTTGGCAATACTGAAAACAAAACTCATCAACTTAAACAAGAAAATTCCACATAGTAATAAGGCAATTTATAGTACTGAAAACAAAACCAAACAGAAATAGGGACTTATGGTTGCGGGTCTTCAAAATCCCGCGGGTTAACCTATCCCGCATTTGGCCCATCCCATTTTGAGCCCGTCCCGCATTCGGCCCGTCCCATTTTGAGCCTGTCCCGCGAGGCCCGCAATTTTGCGGGCTTATAAAATGAAGGCCCAATCCCGCCCCGCAGCAAGTCTTTACGGGACAGGCCCGCGGTCCAGATCTTTGATTGCCATCCCTAGTAAACTTCAGAAAGTGTAATTAACCTCATTTGAATATTTCAAATTCACCCCAGTAACGACAACATACAAAAACGTGGCCAGACAAGTCATATCAGTATTCACTTTGATCGATGCGGAGACTCGACACGTAAATTCTTTTAAAACACACACAAAGTACTTACAAATTGAGTAGGCGAGACGAAGCTGCTGGAAGGAAACGATCTGGCTTGAGTTGACTTGGATGTTTCCACCGATCTCAGTAGAGTTCGAAGATAAATTAAACAGTATTATAAAAATGTAAAATATCCGATGAAACAGATAACAGAACAACATTTACGATAAAAGCTAATGTTAATTTTATGGTATTCCCTTTTCTTAATGAAGTGGCGAAATTTTGATAAATATGAAAGATGCAAGATGTTTAAAGTGGGTTAGTACCATCACTTGCACCTCAAACCCCCATGATTAATTAAATCCTTAGTTGGTCACTTAAAAAATATACATATGAGTTTTTTTTTCCTGGTGTTTTATTTGATTTGTTTCCTTACTTAAATTATAAACATATTAAGCAATTAAAAGGGTTAACCGCTTAAGCTAGAAAAGTAGTTGTTGACAGACAAAAAAAAAACAAGAAACCAATTGCAATTTCAGGAGGTCACGTGATGCTAAATTGTATATTTCATCAATATAAACATATTCTACAAATAAATGGCTAATTGTTTGGTGTGTGCTAAAATAAATTCACAAGTATATGATGATGTGTCTCCATTCCAACTGTTGCTAGCATATTCCATCCTGATCCTTAAGACGTTTTGCCCCACCATGGAATTTGTGGACAAAAAACGAAGCTTGTGTGGGCCAACATGTGAACCCAAATGATATTGGATATAGAAGAAATGTATATATACCTATATAGTTTTCTGTAACGATTTGATTTCATCTTCATTTGCGAAGATTTTATAAATCTAGCAGAAGATGATCCAGTGGTCACATTACAAGTTAAACTACTCAAACATAAAACAATGATTTACCTTTCTAACTTGCTGCGCCATTGTGCAGAAACTAATAACCATCTTTGAAAATTATATTGTTCACCTCTTTTTTTTCGGAACACCTATTGTTCACCACTGTATTTCAAAATTTTGTACAATATTCTTACGTAAACATGACTGGTTTGGGCTAGAAGAATGTGTATAAATAAGTTGTATTGTCTAGTCATATCCTTTACTATACATAAGTAAATCAATTACATAATCATTTTCTTCAATCACGATAGTCTTCTTTCTCGAGCTCTCTCTTCAACTAACATGGTAATTTTGAGTTTGACTAGCATATATGTTCATATAAAAAACGCATTTTATCACAGACAATATTTTCTCATTTTACAAAAGGACGTAATGAAAAGGAGAAAATTAATGAAAATATAAATAATTTTTGTAGTTATAATGTTGAATATGGTAATAAAACATATTTCTTGACTTTCTCGTTTTCCTATAAATTAAAAATGTGTCTAACGGCCTTGTAGTAAAAGATGCCTTGCCCTCAGTACTATGAAAACTAGCTTGCAGTAAAAAGTTTGATGCGACAGCAAAGTTACCGTTGGAGCAAAGGAAAAAAATAAATAAAAAATAGAGTTTAATTTGGAAATAAGTCCGTTGCTTCTGTCTTAATGAACTCTTTCTCTCAGCTATCTATAAATAAAGAGTTCCTCTTACAGAACTTTTAATCTCTTCTTGTCTCTCTCAGCTACCTCTCGACAACGACACATTGGATGATGTTGCGTCTTCAAGGTGTGTTCTTTCTTCGATCTCTTCCCTTCTTTCTCCACTTACAAGTGGCTGCTTTTTTTGTAATCTAATCTAATTGTTTGTTTTTTTTAGACTGTGGAGAGTATGCTTGGTTAGACCGGACGGTGCCTTGATCATTCTCCACTCATTTATCAGGTGTTCTTATTACCAAACTCCTGTTGTTTACCTTCTTCGGTTTTGAAATGTTTTTTTTTTCTTTGGTTTTGAAGGGGAAATTTTATAAAAAGCATGATTAGATCGTGAGGAAACTTATGTGTAAATTTGTGAGATAACATTTTGAGCAGAATATGTCCCCTACTGTTGTTGACGAGTCCGTTAGAGTTAGCATGTTTATTTGTTTCTAACACTTATGATATCACTAAAGCCTACTCCAAATCGGTCTTGTGATTTACAACTTGATTTGATCGTGAGGAAACTTGTATGTGTACATTTGTGAGATAACAATTGAGCAGATATCCTGTCTCATGAGATGGTTAGATGTAAAAGTATGTTTCATTTGTTTTGAACACTTATGATCACTGAGCCTACTCCAAATCAGTCTTGCAATTATAAAATTTCCCCTGTTTTCTTTTTTTCTTTTCTGGTTTTTGTTTTTCGTTTTTGTTTAGCTTGCCTATTTGTTTGTTCAATGTGATCGATCTACTTGTGGTTTTTATTGTTTCAGATGCTGTGGTGGATGGCGCTTGCTTTGCTCGATGATGGGGCTGTTTTGGATTTTGATCCTTCTTTGTTGGCGGCTTCACTGTTGATCTTGTAAGTGAGACTGTTGATCATGTTATTTGTCACCTCTCTTCTCTCTCTCTCTCTCTGTTTGTTTGTGTTATTTCTTCTGATTGTTGTTGTTGGTCTATTTCTCAGATACAATGTGGCTTTTGGTGGTTGAAGCTGGCTAGCTCAGATAAGGACGGACTATACAGTGTGGCTTTTGATTTATGTTATGATGTTTTGACTTCTCTGAACCAAGAGGCAAGAAGAAGATAGTGCCTTTTTTGTCTTAACTCTGTGTTACAGACAGTAATATCATGTAATATAGTTTAGTCAGTATCATCTTAGTATTAAGGTGGTTGTGTATCAATTTTGTAATTTGGTTGTGGAAGGTTTTCCATCAACTTCCAAACATATAAAGTTGTTTAAAGTTTTTCCAGCGAGTGTTGAAGCCACAAATGGATAAAGTTTCATTGATGTATTGTTGTATCATTGTTTTTGAATTCAACTTTTCCTTCTAATAGACAGTTCTAAGTGATATTGAGTTAAAAAAAAGTCTCATTCAGCATTCTCTCTCTAATTTATAATCTATAATATATAGTGCAAGAATCTAACCAAAGGATATGACTAGACACGACATATGCTAAAGGCTAAGGCTTATATCAGAATGGAAAAAGCGTTGTTATAAGAAGAACTAAGTAGAATATAATACTTTGTGTAAGAGACTCTATCTAACCAAAGGACAAGATTCTAAAAACCCTTTCTTGTACTCCACGTTTTTTGAGTCTAATAAGGCCTCTTAAGCTTTACTTGTTTCTTCATTCGCGGCCAAACTCGCCATCTTTCAGCTCCGCCTCTCTTTTCGAATAACCACCATCTGTTTACGAGTCGAAGAAGAAATCAAAACCTGGACTCCTGCGGTCTTTAGTCCCAAAAAAAATATGTAGGTTCGGCGGCCACATGTATAGAAATTTGATTCCAATTTAAAAGTAGAAGTTAGGTTCTTGTGAGTTGTAGCAAAGCCGTGAAATAGGGACATATTAAATTTATTCATATTGCACGGTATAAAAGCTGTTACATCACTTTGTATTCACATTCATTATGCTCCTTCACTATCTATCGGTTTCATTAATTCATCCAAAAACACATTTCTATCATATGTTACTTTTCAGTTTTACTATATTGCAGTTTTTACATTATTTGTTTTCTTATAAACCTATATGAATTTTGTTTCTACTTCTATGACATTAAACTTTACCTTTTTTTTTTTTGTTTGGCTAGTTAATGTACATGGTCTTAACCAAAATGATTCTTAATTTTGTCAAGTGTTCTGTTTTTATTACTCTGTTTCTAAATACTCTGTTTTCCTATTGTCTGAGCTAACTGTTAACTTCTGCAACAGATTTGTGACAACGGGGCAAGTGGGTTTCATCGAGAAGCGTGTGAGTGATGGACCACATACACTAACGATTCTAATAGAGATTGAAGAGGTGTATTCACTGTTTGTGGTCGGCAAGAGGAGAGGAGACTGTCCTATGACGGTGAGAATGAAAGATTTGGAAGAGTGTCCGGAGCTGGGAACTGTAGGAGATTTCTTGGCTTCTTCTTTAGATGTAAATGCTTCTGTATTAGTTATTCAAAGACAAATACATTCAAATGATAACTTACTAGATAATTAGCAAACATATCTTAGTTCAAAGACAAAGACATTCACATGATAGCTTAATAGATCTATTACAAAACAAAAAACAGAGTTTTGATGAAACTTAATGTTTCAGCAACTAGAGCTGGCTAAGTCTTCAAGGCTTGGTCCCTCTGCTCTTGTGCTTCCATTGTATCACAAAGACTTAACCCTTTAGTCTCAGGAAGAAGCAAAGCGAAAAACCCGAGACCCGACACTACAAACCCGAAAACCGCAAAGGAGATGGATGGTACATTTCTTCCAACAGAAGCGATGATAGGACAGCTAGCTCCTCCGAGTACAAGCGCTTGTCTAAGCATCGTTGTCGCGAAGTTCCTCACGCATGTAGGGAACATCTCAATCATATAAACAGACACCAAGTTAAACCCGATCCTCGCGCAGAAGAAAGATCCAAGTTCGAGTGCAAAAGCAATACTTGTTCTACCAAAAGAGGTCATGACGAAACAGAGCACTCCTAATGCTCCTCCCACTAAGCAGTTCACAAGAACAGAGCTTCTTCTGTTGAATTTCTCTAGCAAGATTGGTGTGATAACAAAGGTAGGTAACTCCACCATTGCGTTAAGTGCTTCACTTAGGTATACGTTCACTTTTATATCTCTAACCGCTAAGGGAACTCCGTAGTACATCATCCCTAACCCAAACATTATGATCATCACAACCACGATTCTTCGAAAAGCCCATTTTCTAATGAACAAGTCCTTGATTGAGCTGCTGCTTGGTGGTTGTTCTTTTGAATGTAACCTAGAAGATACTGTTTCCAAATAGATTATGTTTGTAGGTGAAAGTCTTTTGAGCACTTGAATGGCTTCTTCGTTGTTTCCTTGCACGTGAAGCCAACGAGGAGACTCTAGGGCGAAGAAGTAGATGAAAACACCGTGGATAAATGCTGGAACTGATGTGCATAGATAAAGAACTCTCCAAGAAGCGTGTCTAACAAGGTAAGCTATTCCGGAGAGAGACATGAACCCTAACACAAACAGAGTAAACGGTATCATAGTAGCTCTAGGTCTCCATTTAGTTGAAACTCTCTCGCTTATCAGATTGATTGCGTACGTCCCGATTTGTGAACGAGCCAATCCGATTACCAATTTCAAGAAAGCGTAAGTCCATACGTTGGAGGAGAAGAAGATTGAGATTCCAGTGAGTGACGTTGCAAGAGTGGTGAAGAAAAGGAGTTTCTTGCGTCCCACGAAACTGTCTGGTACCAAAGCCATGAAAACGCCTCCAACGATAGAACCCATGAAGAAAGCAGAGGTAGGGAGGCCTCTGAGGAAGGAGCTCGAGCACTCGAGTTCGAACTCTGAAATGACGGATTTACCCTTGAATCCACCGTCCCATTCCCAGGCTGACCGAGGAAGTTTGCAGATGTCGGTGGTTGTTGAGTTGCAGATCGTGTGGTCGAGACAGTGCCACGTGGGGAATGCATCTGTGAAGACGGTGATGAATATTTGTTGCGAGTCAAAGGATAAGGCAAGACCGACGAGAATGATCTGTAAGAACTGTGGGAAGCTGAAACTAGACAAGCATTGTTCGAAGATTTTGTCGAAACTCAAAGGAGGAGAAGTATCTTCGTCTTCAATATGGGTTGTTAACAGTGGTGCTGATGAATCCACCATTGTTGTTCACTTCAGGTGACTTATCTCTCTCTCAGGTTGTGAGAATTATTAAAACAGTGAGCTCTAGTACATGGGGCAAGTGAATAATCTTGAACGTGGTTGTATATTGTTTGTTTATCAATACATTTTTAATTCTCGAATAAAATGTGTGGTGAAATTTAGACTCAAAAAGATTTTGTGATCTTAAATGGTCATAGATTGAGATTGTTCATTGTATGTATGTTGTCCTTTGTTTTCGTCTGAACAATAATTGAAAGACCATACGGACATATCATTAATGAATACATGAAATCATATATGGGCCGCTAAGTAAAAGCTCAGTAATAAGCTACCTCAAATTTTAAACTGAATCATCCCTTTGGTTCGATTAGCAGGTGAGTCGAATCTGAAATATGTTAGTGTCCCAACCCTTCCTCCATACCACTTGATCACAATCACATGGTCTAAAATATACTATATTACAAACATAAAAGTAAAGAGTGAGGGAATATTGGCGCATATAATGTTATGGAATATTGGCATCAGAATTGGGATCAGCGGGCCTGGCCTGGATCTTCTGCGATCAATCAGCTAGGGAAATTGCCAGGGGATGTCACTTCCAAGAACATGTTTCATCACCACTCATCGCAGAGGCATTAGCAATTCGGTCAGTTCTCGAGCACACGAATTCTCTTCACTTCAATCACATCTGGCTTCACTCAGATTGCAAGGGGGTTGTACAAGCCATCACCATGAATCAGAGATCTATAGAGCTTTTTGGAGTTCTAGCAGACATCAAATCGTCTATCTCCGCAACCTTAATGGATTGGCAGATGCTTATGCTAAAGCCTGTCTTTGTAACAAATTTTTACTATTGGGCTCGATCTCAGGATAAAGGTAGAATGTGATTAAGTATTTTAATCGACAATAAATAGCCTATAATTCAGTATATAATATTTATCAGCAAATTCAATATTTTCGTAGGATTAACCCACATATTTGATGATAAATTAAAAAATATGATATTTTTATTTTATTGTATAGCTTCATGATGCACTATCATTTGATGAAGACTAAAGAGGTTTGGGACTTTAGTTATTCTCATATATCAAGAAAATACAGATTTTATAGGAATAAGTCTGCGAAATTAGGTGATTAATAAATTATTCTTAAAAATTAAAAATGATGTCCAAATAGCATAAAAACAATTTTAAACATTTAATATAAATTTATTATGTAATTATAAATTTTTTAATTAACAATAAATAGCCTATACTTTAGTATAATATATTTATCAGAAAATTTATTATTTTCGTAGGGGTTTACCCACATATTTGATGATAAATTAAAAAAAATGATATTTTTATTTTATCGCATAGCTTCATCATGCACTGTCATATGAGTAAGACTAAAGAGGTTTGAGACCTTAGTTATTCCCGTTTGTCAAGGAAATACAGACTTTACATGGATTAGTCTGCGAAACTTATGTGATTATCTAATTACTCTTTAAAAATTAAAAACGATGTCTAAGTACCATAAAAAAACTGAAAATACATTAATATAAATTTAGAATGTGATTAGGTATTTTTAATCAACAATAAATAGCCTAAACTTTAGGATATAATATTTATCAAAAACTCGATATTTTCGTAGGGGTTAGCCCACATATTTGATGATGAATCAGAAAATATGATATTTTTATTTTATTACATAGATTCATCATGAACTGTCATATGATGAAGACTAAAAAGGTTTGAGACATTAGTTATTCCCGTATGTCAAGAAAATACAGATTTTATAGAAATTAGTGCACAAAATTAGGTGATTAATAAATTACTCTTTAAAAATTAAAAACGATGTCCACGTACAATAAAAAGTTTAAAATACAGTAATATAAATTTAGAATGTTATTAGGTATTTTTAATCAATAATAAATAGCCTAAAATTCAGTATATAGTATTTATCAAAAAATGCAATATTTTCGTAGGGGTTAACCCACATATTTGATGATAAATTAAAAATACGATATTTATTATTTTATTACATGGATTCATCAAGAACTGTCATATGATTAAGAATAACGAGGTTTAAGACCTTAGTTATTCCCGTTTGTTAAGGAAATAAAGATTTTACAGGGATCAGTCCGCGAAATTAGTTGATTATCAAATTACTCTTTAAAACTTAATACTGATATACAAGTATCAATAAAAATTTTGAAAATACATTAATATAAATTTAGAATGAGATTAGGTATTTTTAATCAACAATAAATAGCCTAAACTTCACTAAATAATATTTATCTAAAAACTTGATATTTTCGTAGGGGTTAGCCCACATATTTGATGATAAATTAGAATATGATATTTTTATTTTATTGCATAGCTTTGTCATGAACTTTCATATGATGAATACTAAAGAGGTTTGAGACCTTAGTTATTCTCGTTTGTCAAGAAAATACATATTTTATAGGGGCCAATTTTTATAATTAGGTGGTTATTAAATTACTTTTAAAAATTAAAAACGATGTCCAAGTACCATAAAAACAACTTAAAAATACATTAATATAAATTTAGAATGTGATTAGGTAATTTAATAAAAAATAAAGGGCCTAAACTTCAGTATATAATATTTATCAGTAAATTTGATATTTTCGTAGAGGTTAACCCACATATTTGATGATAAATTAGAAATTACCATATTTTTATTTTATTATATAGCTTCATCATACACTGTCATATGATGAATAAAGAGGTTTGAGACCTTAATTATTCTCACTTTTCAAGAAAATACATATTTTATAGGGGCTAGTCCGTAAAATTAGGTAATTATTAAATTACTTTTAAAAATTAAAAACGATGTCCAAGTACCATAAAAATAACTTAAAATACATTAATATAAATTTAGAATGTGATTATATATTTTAATCAACAATTAAAATCCTAAACTTCAGTATATAAAATTTATCATTAAATTCGATATTTTTGTAGGGGTTAGCCCACATATTTGATGATAAATTAGGAAATATGGTAATATTTTTATTTTATTGCATAGCTTCATCATGAACTTTCATATGATGAAGACTAAAGAGGTATGAGACCTTAGTTATTCACGTTTGTCAAGAAAATACATATTTTATACGGGTCAATCCGTAGAATTAGGTGATTATTAAATTATTTTTAAAAATTAAAAACAATGTCAAAGTACCATAAAAACCTTTAAAATACATTAATATAAATTATTAATGTGATTAGATGCTTTTAATAAACAATAAATATCCTAAACTTCACGATATAATATTTATCAGAAAACTCGATATTTTCGTAGAGGTTAGACCACATATTTGAGGATAAATTAGGAAATATGATATTTTTATTTTATTGCATAGCTTCATCATTAACTTTCATATGATGAAGACTAAAGAGGTATGAGACCTTAGTTATTCTCGTTTGTCAAGAAAATACATATTTTATAGGGGTCAATCTGTAGAATTAGGTGATTATTAAATTATTTTTAAAAATTAAAAACAATGTCCAAGTACCATAAAAACCTTGAAAATACATTAATATAAATTATTAATGTGATTAGGTATTTTTAATAAACAATAAATATCCTAAACTTCAGGATATAATATTTATCATAAAAATCGATATTTTCGTAGGGTTAGCCCACATATTTGATGATAAATTAGAAATATGATATTTTTATTTTATTGCATAGCTTCGTCATGAACTGTCATATGATGAATACTAAAGAGGTTTGAGACCTTAGTTATTCCCCTATGTCAAGAAAATACATATTTTATACGAATTAGTTCGCGTATTTAGGTGATTGTTAAATTACTTTTAAAAATTGAAAACAATGTCCAAGTACCATAAAAAACCTTGAAAATACATTAATATAAATTAAAAATGTTATTAGGTATTTTTAATCAATAATAAATAGCCGAAACTTCAGTAAATAATATTTATTCGAAAACTCGATATTTTCGTAGGGGTTAGCCCACATATTTGATGATAAATTAAAAAATATGATCTTTTTATTTTCTTGCATAACTTCCTCATTATCAAGAAAATAGAAATTTGGTAGGAGTTAGTCTACTAACTAAGTGGTATATGTAGTTTAATTAAATTACTCGTTAAAAAATTAAAAATTATAGACATGTACCATGATAATATGTTCAGTATACATTAATATAAATTTAGAGTGTGGTTATATATTTTTAAAATCTAATATATATATCATCTATTGAAAATCTAAAAACTCGATCTTTTCGTAGGGGTTAACCCACATAATTCAAGATAAATTTGAATTTTTTTTTTTTTCTTTTAATGCATAGTTGCATCATATACTTACATAGTATGAAGATGAAAAAGGTTTGAGACCTTAAATGTTCCCCTTTATCAAGAAAATAGAAATTTGGTAGGAGTTAGTCTACTAACTAAGTGGTATATGTAGTTTAATTAAATTACTCGTTAGAAAATTAAAAATTATAGACATTTACCATGATAATATGTTCAGTATACATTAATATAAATTTAGAGTGTGGTTATATATTTTTAAAATCTAATATATATATATCATCTATTGAAAATCTAAAAACTCGATCTTTTCGTAGGGGTTAACCCACATAATTCAAGATAAATTTTATTTTTTTTATTTTTGTTTTAATGCATAGTTGCATCATATACTTACATAGTATGAAGATGAAAAAGGTTTGAGACCTTAAATGTTCCCCTTTATCAAGAAAATATAAATTTAGAGTGCTGTTATATATTTCTAAAATCTAATATATATATATATATATCATCTATTGAAAATCTAAAAACTCGATCTTTTCGTAGGGGTTAACCCANATACTTACATAGTATGAAGATGAAAAAGGTTTGAGACCTTAAATGTTCCCCTTTATCAAGAAAATATAAATTTAGAGTGCTGTTATATATTTCTAAAATCTAATATATATATATATATATCATCTATTGAAAATCTAAAAACTCGATCTTTTCGTAGGGGTTAACCCACATAATTCAAGATAAATTTGAATTTTTTTTTTTATTTTTGTTTTATTGCATAATTGCATCATATACTGACATAGTATGAAGATGAAAAAGGTTTGAGACCTTAAATGTTCCCCTTTATCAAGAAAAGAGAAATTT